TTTGCAGGGATAATGATGGGAATGACCTGGGCTTTGAAATGGGCTTCTGAGGCTTAGAAGTAGGCTCCCTGCAGTCTATAATGTCGCACCCGTGGTGGATGATGCTGTGGCCGCGGGTCAGCTTCCGACTGTGTTGATTTGCCTTCAGTGAATTGACCATATCTAGCAATCTAACTATTAAATTACTTCGATTCCAATTGCATTAGAAAGCTGATTGTCTCCTATATCTTGGGTCCAAATTTGGGATGATCAGACGGTGAAAAGGTTTCCATTTGTTTCCAAACTTCCGACGGCCTAAATTTATCCAAAGTTGTACTTTTGCTTCCAAGAGCATCCCTTTTGTCCAAATATCCTGAAAAATCTTTTGAAACTCTAAACCGTGGAAATCACTTAAAAATCATTAAAAAACCAAGTTAAAACACCTGAATAAGATCTTAGAATCATCCATAAAAGTTGTCAAAATACAGTGTTATCAACTCCCTCAGACTAAAACCTTGGTTTGCCCCCAAACAAAAATCAAAGTCAGGAAAGAATCTTAAAATCGCAGGGACTAAACAGTATCTTAGTGACCGTCTTTCTAAACCATAACCAAGATGCATCCATCGGATCTAGTCTAGAAATTCTCACCAAAATATAAGCATAACTAGTCTGTTAATTCGTCATGCGAAAATCTACTCACTTAGACCTATCTTCCTGTCAACTAACTCTTAACATTCATTTACAAGTTCCAGTGGTCCTCGTCAAAAAGAAATTTAACAAGGCATCAAGGCTAGGTATTCAAAAAGGCTTTTTAGGGGTGAGGTTCTTAGTGTTTAGGGTTACTTTTTTATGGAGAGACAGAATATTATGTAAAACAGCAAGAGAGGATGGAGCTGTTGAATGTCCACAGTTTCCAGTCACATTCTTCTTGCTTTAAGATTTTTGATCTCCTTTCTTCAGATTCTCCCCATAACTCCCCCAGATTTAGATTTTTGTCCAGGTTGTGAAAAACCATAACTCCATAGATGAATACTTGTGGCCTTTGCTCTAGTAATTCCGGCTTCTAAGATTCTTTAAGCTTTTTGTTTCCTTTCTTTTCATTCTTTTTTTTTCTCTTTTTTGAATTGTTTTTATTTTTTTATTATTTTTGTTTTGGAAAGGGATAACAACCTTTTGACATAGAGTCTTAGGGAGCACGAAATTTACCTTTTAGAATGAGCCTTTTGCGGCATCACTAAGCTTGATAAGATTACTGATATACTTCCTTCCCAATTTCATTCAGTCCTTCTCTTGAGTGACTGAAAACTATGTTGTTCCTCCCTCTCTGGCGTTTTTGCACATATCTGCCGATAAAAATTTAAGAGAAAAGACATGAGGTTCGAACATAAAGGCTTGGGTTGAGGGTATGGTACCAGCTAAAGATGAACTGGCCATCTAGGACAACAAATAGTAGTAACATAAGGTAAAAATGTCCTAGATGTATATCATGATGCCTTCCTAAAACCAATGATGAGAAAATTAGATGTCAATATTAAGTCCAAATAGAATGAGCTAGTATATCCTGTTAGAAAGAATCTCCAAGGATTGAAATCCTCTGGTGGGAGTTCGTAGTGCAGGCATTCTAGCTACCGCCTAGTCTAGCTCTAAACCACGAAGGAGCTAACATGAGGAGATATCGTAGGAGCACACATGTCGAAATCATCATAGAGCTATTTCTAATGTTCCTGTTTTGAAATCCTTTTGAAACAAAATTCTTTTATGGAAATCTTTTTTATGAAAAACAATCTAAGAAAAAACCAAATTTCGTCAGTAAGGGATGAACATCCTCCCCCAGACTTAAATCACACTGCCCCCAGTGTGAAAATTTTTTAAAAGGATGGGATATTGATGGACTGAAATTTGGAATGTTTAGGTGTACTTACCTGGCGACGTGTTGTGGCTTGTGATGTGTTTTCTGGTTCGTGATTCCTGTTCATCTCTTACTCGTTCTTCGCCAAAAAACCTAAAATAAAAGGAAACAAAAACAAAGCAACAAAAATAGAAAATGCAATTCAAAGAGAATAAATAAAATACCAAGTGGGTTGCCTCCCACTAAGCGCTTGCGTAAAGTCTTTAGCTTGACTTTGTTGATGCTTCAGTTTGATGGATCCATCAAGAGAATTTCTTCTCTTTCTTCTTCTTCTTCTGCGATGTATGGTTTAACACGCTGTCCATTAACGACAAATTTGTCTCCTTTCTTACCACAAAGAACAATTGCTCCATATGGTTTGACTTCCTTTATTGTAAAAGGTCCAGACCATCTTGATCGCAGCTTTCCTGGAAAAAGCTTAAGGCGAGAATTGAAAAAAAAAAACCTTGTCATTGGGAGCAAAAGATCGATGTATGATCTTTTTGTCATGATATGCCTTCGTCTTATTCTTGTATATCTTGGAGTTCCCATAGGCATTATGCCTGATTTCTTCCAACTCGTGAATATGAAGCATTCTTCTTTCTCCAGCTGCCTTAAAGTTCATGTTCATCTCCTTAACAGCCTATTGTGCTTTGTACTCGAGCTCTACAGGAAGGTGACATGCTTTCCTGTAAACAAGATTGAACGGAGTGGTCCCTAAAGGAGTTTTATATGCTGTCTGATAGGCCCAAAGTGCATTGTCGAGTTTTTTCAGACCAATCCTTGCGATTTATGCCGGTTGTCTTTTGAATCGACTTAATCTATCTCATTAGAGATTTCTACTTGTCCACTTGTCTAAGGGTGATATGGAGATGCAACTTTATGCGTGACCCCATTCTTTTTTTAGCAGATTTTTAAAAACTCTGTTGATGAAATGATGCTCTGGCCGCGGGTCAGCTTCCGATTGTGTTGATTCGCCTTCTGTGCATTGACCATATCTGGAGAACTAACCGTTGGATTGCTTCGATTATAATTGCATTAGAAAGCTGATTGTCTCCTATATCTTGTGTTCAAATTTGGAGATGATTAGACAGTGGGAAGGTCTCCATTTGTTGTCAAACTCCTGACGGCATAAATTTATCCAAAGTTGTACTTTTGCTTCCAAGTGTATCCCTATTATTTAAATATTCTGAAAAATCTTTTAAAACTACTTAAAAATCATTGAAAACCAAAGTAAAACACCTGAATAAGATCTTAAAATCATCCATAAAAGTGGTCAAAATATGGTGTTATCAACACCTTCACAGATTTTTTTTATTACAAAAAATTAGATATTTTGTTAAAGAAAAATAACTTTAAAATTACTTCCATTTTTTACTTTTTACAAGGTCCAATAATTGAAAAATGTGTAAATGTCTTACATATACCTAAATATATATTTGATTTGTTATATTTTATTTTCATAATTTTATAATCTAGGTTTATTGATTTGCCTATAAAACATTGTCTATGTAAAAGCATAACACAAGAAAACAATTTATACACTTCAGTTTCTCTACTATATTCTTTTTTTTGTATATAATATAATTTTTCCATAATTATCTTGATTTTTTACATTTTTTAGCTTTTTAAAAAAGTACTTTCTATAAGAATGCATCAAATGATAAAAAAAAATTATACGTCTACAGCTTCTCGACTAATTTCTATATTACATATCTACTAATGATTCAGGTTTTTTAAATCACATTAAAAATACTATTTATGTTAAAAGATTTTAAAACCTCAAATTATCTGTTATCGTGTTCTTAATTATATTTCTTTTCAAATATTGTCATATTTCCTTAGAATAAATAAAACAAAAAAAAAAAAAATTTCTAGCTATTTGATTCTTTATATCAGTTTTTTATATGATTTATTTTTTCCATTTTTCTTACAGATCTTATTAAAATGATCAGTATGAAAACATCATATATCATATATATAATTGAAATTTAACTCTAATTTAGTAGATTTTCTATATATTAGAATTTAATATTTTCTATCATTTTAGGAATATTTTTTCAATGTAAAATATGAAATTAGTTAAAAATTATAATAACATAATGCTATCATTTAATTTGTTAAAATTTAACAAAATATGTGGGATATTTGTATTTGTACTAGATAAAAGGGTGCACGTGTCGACAAAAAATAGTGCATATGTACATGATTGATCATTTGATATATATTTTTGTAATAACATAAAAAGCGTAAATATGGCTAGCAATAGTATTTCAGCACCCTAATGCATTTTTTTCAAATATAGTCTTTTATATTAAAAATATTTTATATGTTAATGTTTATTTTCAATTTTCTGATAACAAAATATAACAAGAACACACTTCTTTACCAAAAACACAACAAAATAAGAAAATATGAGGAAAATAGAAAATGCCATAATTCTGAAGAAAAACAACATAATAATAAGAAATGAAAATTCTGAATGAAAAAAAAAATATATATTATAATAAAAAGAAATGAGAAATTATGAAAGTAAAACAATATAACATATTAAAAAGAAATGAGAAATTTTGAGAGGTTTAAAAATACGAGAGATATGACGATAATCTAAAACATAATTTTTTGATTTTTTTTGTTTAGAAACATAAATTGGATCTTATAAAATGTTTAAAAATAATCAGATCTATAGTGTGGAGGATGACTATCATGATGATGCTCATTTTCTTCATTCAACGTCATGATGTGGTTTCGATTAAACTCCGGTATGTAGTTCATATTGTTCCTTGGAACAAATTCATTAGTAATACTACCATTATTATTATTTCCAAATGGTATTGGGTGATTAGGACGAATCATGCCATGATTATAGGATGCATTCAATGTCCACCATTCTTCTTTGATGAAACTGATCAAAATCTAGGTTGATTTTGTTACTACCATCAATCCCAAAAAGATCATTGCTAGAATTTCCGACATGAAAATAAATATTACCACCACTAATACCAAAAGAAGCATTGCTTGGATTTCCAACATGAAAGTTGTTACTACCATCATCGACCCCAAAAGGAGCATTGCTAGTACTTCTGACATCAAAGTTTGGATGAGGACTATTTGCTTGAAATTTTTTTTGGCTTCAAATGTAACATTTCTTTTTCAAAATTTCAAGCATACCTTTAAATTTATAGGCTTGAGCTAAGTCAAGTCCTTCAATGGGTTTTTCCCGCCAATTTTCAGGCATTTTAGAATTTTCTCTTATTTTCTTAAGCTCTTCATTCTTTTTTTCTTTCTCAGATTCTAATTGATTCATCACCTAAATAAAAAAAAAATTAATTCTAAAACAATTCAATTTTAAAACTTTATATGTGAGAAGCCATTTGAAATCATCTCAAAATAATTATTAAAAAAAAAACAAAAACCAAAGAAATAAATTAATATATACATTATGTTATCATTATGATTTTCTCTGGAAAATCATGAGTATATAAATCTATCTTAGATGTGGAGAAAATATTTACTTAAGCCATATAATATATCATTTATTCGTGAAAACTAATATGTATATATATTTAATTATATAAAACCAAAACAAATAACTAAAAATAAAATATTAGTAAAGATTTTTATGATTTTATCAAACATATTAGAATTTTAAAGAACACGATAAAAAACATAAAATTTAAGATTCACCTGAGTAAGATGATTATTCAGATCCTGAATGATATAATTTTGATGGGCTTCACTGGGTTGCAAGTTGTTTGGTTGGTGAGGAGGAGGAGAATTGTTGTTTAAAAATCTATCAATTATGGTTTCAACATTTGGATGATCAAAAGAAAAAGCTTTTCGTCCAGGTAAGTAAACGATAATGGCGATTTTGGCACCACAGAGTGTAGAAAGCTCACTAGTCTTTTTGAAAAGCTCAGATCTTCTTTTTGAAAAAGTATCTTGAAGACTAGTTTCATTTTTCATTTTCACCATTTTTATTTTTTACGACTTTTGTTTTTCTTCACCATCATCTTTGATATTTGGAAAACGAAAATATGGATTGGTGTTTGCATAATGAAAATTTTAGTGTCTTTATAGCAGAAAATTATATACCAACAATTATTATTTTGAGTTATCTAAGAGTAAATTCAACTTTAATTTACTATAGCTTATATTTGAATTTGAATTTTATTAATTTTGGGATATTTTGATAACTTCATATTCTATTAATATAAGGTATGAAATTCATATTGATTTGACTATAATATATCATTTCATCTGTTGTAATGTATCATAATCTGCCACCTTTATTATATGTGATAATTTCCTATTATATAGAATAATAACAATGGTATTAAAAAAAGTTTAGATGTAATATTAATGAATCTAACTCGTTGTCATCATATATGCTAACAATGATATACCTATTTAGTTTTTTTTTTCTTCCTCTCCAAAAAGTTGTGAGCATAGTTCTATCCATATTATTCAAAAATGGTAAAAATAGATATGATTAGATAATCAAAATTGTTAATATTTTTTTCAATAGAACGATAATAAAAGATTGTAGATTTTTTTAATTAAAATTTTTAATTTGGTTACTTCTTTATTGTAGAAACCAATGGTTAGTATGTCTAAATAATGGTTCATATACATTTTATAAATCAAATTAAATGATGATAATTTTGTGAAATATCTAACTAAGTGTTTTGGGGCTATCATGCATATTCAAGTGATTATTTCTCGTTGAAAATTATTTTTAGAATGGTAACACGAACGACACACCACTATATAGTTCATAATTTTTTTTTGAAGTAGTTGACTATGCGTACAATATATTATTTTCTCAGTTTTATTTTGGCATTTAAGTTTTTTTTTTTTTTGAATTTGATGTTAAATAAAAGTATTTGTAACATGAGGCAGCTCTTTCTTGAGTTTTGAATCGAAATTGAACATGATTTATATAACTTTAGCTCCTAGATACGACTAAGCTTGAAGGCCCTTCTCGCATAGCTTATCTCCTTTGGTCCAAATAGATGAGAGGTAATTTCTCACTTATTTTTCTATTAACTTGACAATGTTAACTGCAGGATTTGAATCTTCTCCAACACATTTTTCTTCTAGATCTGAAATCTATCAATCATGATCATTATTAAAAAAGACGACAGAGATACTAAATAATTTTTAGGCCAATAGTGTTGTTAGGCTCCTCTAAATGGAGTGAGAATTCTATACCTTGGGTTCGCGGCTGCTTGAGATATGTGAAAAAATTCTTTGATGATGAATCAAAGCTAACCCAAACAAATAAAGCGATATTGTTCCATGTCAAACATCTTTCGAATTTGTAAACATCAGTTATGCTCTTTTCTATTTAACGAATCACATATTTATTGCAAAATATATACAAGTATTATTGATAACCTAAAACTCTCTTACGAAGATCCAAAAACTATCCTTTAAACTTGAATTTTGAAATACTGAATGTAGTATGTAATCACCGAACATCTTTCCCTTAAAAAGATAGAGAAAGAGAGATGAATTTATCTTGAAAACGTAAACGAATACGAGAAACAATGAGCACTTGTTTTTTTAAAATAAATTCTTCTTATAGTTAATTTCGTGATATATTAGAATAAATTTCAATGTTGGGGGATATGGTATTCTTTTTGTTGAACATGTCACTTATATAGTAAATTTGTACCATATCATGAGTTGCATGCTGTTTTGTTGTTGAACATAAGTCAACTGCAATTTTAATATTTAGAAACCTAAAAAAACGTAGCTAGATAAAAATAAATATGATTTAAAAATAAATACAAAAATCAGAAGCTTCATTAATTGAGCATTAGTGTGAATAAACTTCCGCTATTAGAGAGTCATTCCAGCATCAAAGTTGCTTATATGAGGAAAAGAACATTTGTCTCCCTATTCCTATTACGAGGTAATTAACACATATAACGTGAAATCAAACAAATTGAAAAAATCAAATAATTTTTCTTAAGCAACAGAAAATCATCCAATTATAAAGAAAATGTTAGTCAACTCTCAAAAGATTCAATCATCTCATTCAAAACAAAGTATAAGAATTCCTTTCAGGCTCTCATCCCCCAGAGAAAAGTTTCCAATTCCACATGAAAACTAGATAAACCACATCTACAATCTTTTAGATCTGAGATAAAAGAAGTTTTATCAGAATTTTAAACTCTACTAATTCAATCTTATAGATGCTCAAATGGATGCCTGTCATGGCGTCTTATCTCTATAATGACATATGCTGGTTTTTCCTCTTTTATCAACCCTTTCAGACCCATGAACAACTTGTGCAAGTTTCCATTCCTTCACATAATGAACCGCAAGATGTACAGTGTTTTAAGGTAATTAATTAGTACGTAATTCCCATCATACATTTGCATTTCTTGCTTTCTCTACATACCAGATTAACCCATGTGGGAACATAAAAAAATTGATTCCCATTTGCTCCAGGTTTTTTAGCTTTCCTAAAAAGAAAATTAAAATTCACATACAAGTAATTACATGTGAACACCCCCAAAGATTTTTTTTTTTTTTTTTTTGATCTTTTCGTTGAAGAAATATTTCTAAAAGCTTACCTTCATTTTTCAATTTTATCATCTCAATAAGTGAAAAGATATTACATGTCTTTTCGTACTATCTTTGATGTATATACAAGATAATATATATATATATACATTCATTTTGTTATATTTCATTTTTCATAATTTTCTAATTTAGGTTTCTTGACTTGCATAAAAAGTATTGTATATGCAAATGCATAAAAAAAGAAAAAAACATATATGCTTTCTCGACAATGTTAGTTTTTGTAAATTGTATTATTTTTTGTTCATAATTATCTTAAATTTAGATTTCTTGACCTTTAAAAAAAAGTATTCTGTATGTGGATGCATCAAACAAGCCATTTATTTTGTATGTCCACTTAAAATCCATTAAAAGTCCACCATTTTGTTGGTAAACCACTTTAGGGTATTTTTCGGTTTCACCAAGTTTATGGACTAAAGGAATGCATAATATGCTCGGTGTGAAGCGAAAGAGAAAACAATCAATCATATTTTGTTTGAATGTCCTCTAACTCTATATTTTCTCAGGTTCCAACGCCTCCAAGCGTCTTTCCTATTTCATCAGTATTTTCTAATATTGATTATATTTTTTGGCAACTTCTGAACGAAAATCTGAATACAAGTTTCCCTGGGATTGTCTAGTATATCTGGAAGGATAGAAATGATAAAGTTTTCTCAAATCTGGATAGAGATCCACAAGAAGTCCTTAAGATTGCAGAAACTGAGGCGACAATCTGGAATTCGACTAATTGCATAGGCGACGCAGGCATATAATACAGACTCTGAACACCATTGAAGATCTTATCCACTCTTCAAAAAAAACAATACAGAGCAACAGTCAAGGATAAGTTTCTGTGGAGGACAAAGGATCTGACATACAGCTCCAACTTCAGTTCCAACGCTACTAGAGAGCAGCTGAGAACGAAGCACCCTCGAGTAGGCTGGTCACGAGGGATTTGGTTTACTCACCATTGTCCCAGATATGGTTTTATGGCGTTGTTGGCTATGCATAATCGCCTTTCAACTGGTGATAGAATGCAAGTCTGGGCACCGAATGTCGCGACAGCATGTGTACTCTGTCAAGATCCGTACGAAACTCGATCGCATCTGTTTTTCTCTTGTTCATTCTCGACTCGAGTATGGGAGAATGTGGCTAAAAGAATACTCCGGCAAAACTATTCTAGTACCTGGTCTGATATAGTCGCCCTTATATTTGATCCTCGGCGAAACAGGGTGCAAAGTTTAATGATTCGATATTTGTTTCAGATGTCAATTCATGTACTGTGGAGAGAACAAAATGCTAGACGACATGGCTCAGCTCCATCTTCTGCAATGAGTCTAATCAACTTCATCGACAAAGGTATCAAAAATCGATTCAACTCCATTCGACTCCTTGGCGATACAAAATACGAGCAGGGATTTCAGCAATGGTTAGCTTCTCGTCCGTGAAGCAACCCCAATCTGAGTTTTTTTTAGTCTTATTGCTATGTTGCTTTTAAAAGTATTCAAAAACGTTCACACTTGATGTAGAAAATGCTGTTTTTTTCGGTTTGAATAAAATTTAACATTCATCCCAAAAAAAAAATCTGGAATTCAGCAAAAATTAGTGAACAAGCCATAACATCTCAAAGTTGTATGCTCCTTCACCGGTTATTTTGGGATATCAGGGAAATTGTTGTTATGTTGATGGTTTATGGAAACAAAAATAACACTTTTTCTGGACTAGGATGGCACTGTTTTCAAGTAGGATTTGAAAGATCTCTCTTGGGTGCAAGGAATCTATGAAAAGTATGTTTCCTTTATATGCTGAATTAGAAGCTCTTATATGGGTCATGCACTACATGATCACAAACCAACATACGAGAATATATTTCAAGACAGATGATTTTAAGTTGGTAGAGATGGTATATACACCGAAAGAGTGCTCTGTTTTTACATTATATTGGAGGAGTTCAAGAAGAATAAAGACGAGTCTAGTTTTTTCTCCATCTCATATCTCTGGCGCAAACAATTCAAAGGCGGCAAGCTAGCACGAAGTTTTCGAATCTATCCACATGATATTGTTTATGTAAATTCAATACTCCCAATTCGGATTTTTGAATCGTTGAAAATATCATGTGTCGATAAAAAAGCATCAAACAAGATAACTTTTTATATGTCGTTAACCTCTTAATTATTTGTTTTCACATATCATTATATTCTATTATGATAATTACCAACAATTTAAATTTCTTGAATTAGATAAAATGTATTGTTTATGTCAATACATCAAAAAACATGTCATACATGTTTGGATTTTATTTATATTCTTTCTGTATCTTATCATATGTCCTTTTTCAGAGTAGCCTATGAAAATAAATAAAAAACCTTGAATAGCAGAGCTTTAGAGAAAATTATCAAAATAGTTTTTTTTGGAAATTTTGTGAAGGATTTAAGGTGTAGGGTTCGGTGGTTTAGGCTATAGGGGTTAATTTTGAGAGTTTAGAGTGAAGGATTTTGTCTTAACCCTAAAATCTAAAAAAAAATTCTAAAACAAGACTATTTTTAAAATTTTCTCAAACGCTATACTATTCTATTCTGTTAATTATTTAAAAAATCTCTTTTGAGTTTTTTATATTAACTTTTATTCACTTCACTTACATATATATTACAATGTGGAACAAATTGAAAAATTTAAAGAACTTATTTTTAACAGCTGAAAATCATCTTATTATATAGAAAATGCTAGTCAACTCTCAGAAGATTTAATCATCTTCAAAAGTTCAAAATAATCTCATTCAAAACAAAGTGTAAGAACTTCTCTCGGGCTCTCATTCCTCTTAGCAACGTTTCAGTTCCACAAGAAAGCTACATAAACCACATCTAGAACTTTTTAGATCTGACATAAAAGAAGTTTTAACTCAATTAATCTGTTCTACTAATCCACTTTTATAGATGTCCAGAACCATCAAATTGATGCATATTATGGTGTCTTAACTCCATAATGACATATGGTGGTTTTTTCTCTTTTTTTGCAATCTTTTCAGACCCATGAATTCAAAAAAAGTTTCAAAATTTCGCTCAGGCTTTTATCATGCAGAAAAACGTTTCTAGTTCCACATGAAAACTAAACAAACAATGTCTAGAACCTTTTAGATCTGTTATAAAATAAGTCTGAACCTAATCTGCTCCACTATTCCACTCTTATGGATCCTCAGAAGTCAGAATCATCGAGTTTAACCCAGTCATTTCTCCTTATCACAGTAACCATGGTTTCCTTAAAATTAAATTAAAGCCCACGTACATGAAACAATACATGAACACCCCCACATCTTTTTTTTCTACGAAAAAATAGATATTTTGTTAAAGAAAATAGCTTGAAAATTACTTTCATTTCTTACTTTTAACCAGGTTAATAATTGAAAAAGTGTAAATTTCTTATATATACATATATATATATATATATTTAATTTGTTATATTTCATTCTCATAATTTTAGACTCCAGTTTCTCTACTATGTTCCTTTTTGTATATGGTATCATTTCTTTTCTAATTATCTTGATTTACATTTCTTAACTTTTGAAAAAAGTACTTTCTATGTGAATGCGTCAAATGATAAAACTTTTTATACATCTGCAGCTTCTCAACTAATTTCTACATTATATATCTACTGATATTTTAGGTTTCTTGAATCACATAAAAAATACTATTTATGGTAAAACATTTTAAAAAACCATATTTACTGTTATTGTGTTCTTAATTATATCTCTTATCATATATTGTCATATTTTCTTTTTCCGAGTTGCCTATGAGAATAAATAAAACAAAAAGAAACACTTTTATAGATATTTGGTTCTTTATATCAAATTTTTATATGAATTTGTTTTTCCATTTTTCTTACAAATCTTATTAAAATGATCAGAATGACATCTATAGAAGAAAATTCATGTTGTACTATTGTATGAAATCACAAAAATTTAACTCTAATTCAGTAGGTTTTCTGTATATTAAATTTAATATTTTCTATCATTTTAGGAATATTTTCTCAATGTAAAATACGAAATTAGTTAAAAATTATAATAACATAATGCTCTCATTTAATTTGTTAAAATTTAACAAAAAATGTGGGATATTTGTATTTGTACTAGATAAAAGGGTGCATGTGTCGACAAAAAAAAATAGTGCATATGTACATGATGGATCATTTGATACATTTTTTTGAAATAAACATAAAAAGCGTAAATATGGCCAGCAATGGTATTTCAGCGCCGTAATGCATTTTTCCAAATATAGTCTTGTATTAAAATCGTAGTATATGTTAATGTTTATTTTCAATTTTCTGATAACAAAATATAACAAGAACATACTTCTTTACCAAAAATACAACATAATAAGAAACTGAGGAAAATAATATATGCCATAATACAGAAGAAAAAACATAATAATAAGAGATAGAAATCTGAAAGAAAAAATATATATTATAAGAAGAAGAAATGATAAATTAAGAAAGCAAAACAATATAACATATTAAGAAGAAATGAGAAATTCTGAAAGGTTAAAAATACATTATATTAAAGAGAAATGAGGATATCCTAAAACATGATTGTTTTTTTATTTTTGTTTAGAAACATAAATTGGATCACAGAAATGATTAAGAATAATCAGATCTAGAGTGTGGAGGATGACCGACATGATGATGCTTATTTTCTTCCTTCAACGTCATGTTTTGGTTTTGATTAAAATCTGGTATGTAGTTCATATTGTTTCTTGGAACAAATTCATTAGTAATACTACCATGATTATTATTTCCAAATGGTATCGAGTGATTAGGAAGAATCATGCCATGGTTGGAGGATGCATTCATGTCTACCATCCTTCTTTGATGATACTGATCGAAATCTAGGTTGATATTGTTACTACCATCAACCCCAAAAAAATCATTGCTAGAATTTCCGACATAAAAGTAATTATCACCACCATTAATCCCAAAAGAAGCATTGCTTGAATTTCCAACATTAAAGTTGTTATTACCATCATCAACCCCAAAAGGAGCATTGCTAGAATTTCCAACATCAAAGTTTTGATGAGGAATATTTGCTTGAAAATATTTTTTTGCTTCAAATGTAACCTCTTTTTTCAAATTTTCAAGCATACCTTTAAATTCATAGGCTTGAGCTAAGTCAAGTTTTTCAATGGGTTCTTCCCACCAATTTTCAGGCCTTTTAGAAATTTCTCTTATTTTCTTCAGTTCTTCATTCCTTTTTTTCTCAAATTCTAATTGATTCATCACCTACAAATAAAGAAAAAAAAAGAATCCATTTTTAGAACTTTATGTGTGAGAAGCCATTTGAAATAAACTCTCAATATAATTATTAAGAAAACAAAAACCAAAGAAATAAATTAATATATACACTATGTTATCAATTTTTATTTCATATGATTTGTCAACATATCATTATGATTTTTTTCTGGCAAATCATGAGTATATAAATCTATCTTAGATGTGGAGAAAATAATTACTTAAGCCATATGATAGATGTTTATTCATGACAACTAATATGTATATGTATTTATTTAATTATATAAAACAAAACAATATCTCAAAAAAATATGTTAGTATAGATTTTTATGATTTATATTAAACATAGTAGAATTTTGTAGAACACAATTAAAAGAACATAAAATTTAAGATTCACCTGAGTAAGATGATTGTTCAGATCTTGAATGATATAATTTTGATGAATTTCACTGGGTTGCAAATTGTTTGGTTGGTGAGAAGGTGGAGGATTGTTGTTTACAATTCTATCAATTACGGTTTCAACATTTGGATGACCAAAAGAAAAAGCTTTTCGTCCAGGTGAGTAAACGATAATGGCAATTTCGGCACCACAAAGTGTAGAAAGTTCACTAGCTTTTTTGAAAAGACCAGATCTTCTCTTTGAAAAAGTAACTTGAAGATTACTTTCATTTTTTATTTTCACCATTTCTATTTTCTGACGACCTTTGTTTTTCTTCTCCATTTGTTTTTGGTATTTGACAAATGAAAATATGGATTGATGTTTGCATAATGAAAATTTTAGTGTTTTTATAGCAGAAAATCAAATAACAACAATTATTATTTTGAGTTATTTAAGAGTAAATTCAACTTTAATTTGCTATAATTTATATTTGAAATTTAATTTTATTAATTTTAAGATGTTTTGATAACTTCATATTCTATTAATATAAGATATGCAATTCATATTGATTTGACTATAATATGTCATCTCATCTGTTATAATTTATCATAATCTACCACCTTTATTATATATGAGAATTTCCTATTATATAGAATAAACAATGGTATTAAAAAAGATTAGATATAATATTAATGAATTTAACTTGTTGTCATCATATATGCTAACAGTGATATACTTATTTAGATTTGTTTCTTCCTCTAAAGTTATGAGCATAGTTCTATCCATAATTATTCAAAAATGGTAATAAAAGATATGATTAGATGATAAAATTTTTAAATTAAATTTTTTATCAATAGAAAGATAATAAAATTGTAGATTTTTTAGTTAGAATTTTTAATTTTGGTTAGTTCTTTATTGTAGAAACCAGTGTTGAGTATGTCTAAATAATTATTCATATTTATACATTTAATAAGTCAAATTAAATGATGATATTTTTTTTGAAATATCTAACTAAGTTTTCTTTCTGGCACATCCTGTATATTCAAGTGATTATTTCTCGATGAAAAACTACTTTAGAATGGTAACACAAACAATACACCACTATATAGTTCATAATGTTCTTTTAACAGTTGATTATGCGTATAAATGTTATTTTCTCAGATTTTATTTTGATATTTCATTTTTTTTTTTTGAATTTGATGTTAAATAAAACCATAGTATCTTAAAGTTACGCTCATTCACCGGTTGTTTTAGGTTATGAGGGGATTTGTTGTTATGTTGATGGTTCATGGAAACAAAAAATAACACTTATTCTGGACTAGGATAACACTGTTTTCAAGTAGGCTTTGAAGGATCTCTAATGTGTGCAAGGAATCTATGAAAAAGTCTATCTCGCTTATGTACTGAATTAGAAGCTCTTATATGAGTCATGTACTGTATGATCACAAACCAACATACGGGAATATCTTTCAAAACAGATTGTTTTAAGTTGGTGAAGATGGTATATACAACGAAGGAGTTCTCTGTTTTTGCATTATATTGGAGGAGTTCAAGAAGAATAAAGACGGGTCTAATTTTGTTTCCATCTCATATCTCTGGCGCAAATAACTCAAAGGCGGCAAGCTAGCACGAAGTTCTCGAACATATCCACATGATATTGTTTATGTAAATTCGATACTCCCGATTTGGATTTTCAAACCGCTGAAGATATCATGTGTTGATTAAAAAAAAGCAGCAAACAAGAAAACTTTATATATGTCTTCTTTTATTTATTTCTTTATTACATATCATTATATTTTATTATCATAATTACCAATAATTTAAATTTCTTGAATTGCATAAAATGTATTGTTTATGTCATTACATCAAAAAACATATCATACATTTTTGGATTTTTGATTAATTTTCTTTATGTATGTCATATGTTCTTTTTCAGAGTTTCCTATGAAAAAATAAAAAATAAAAAGAACTTTGAATAGCACACAGTTTTTGAGAAAATTATCAAAATAGTTTTTTTTTCTGAAATTTTATGAATGGTTTACGGTGTAGGGTTTGGTTGTTTAGGATATAGGGTTTGATTTTGAGAGTTTAGGGTGAAGAATTTCGTCTTAAACCCTGAATCCTAAAAATAATTCTCAATAAGACTATTTTTATAATTTTCCCAAACGTTATACTATTTTGGTAATTGGGTTCTTATTTTTTTTGTTATTTTAAAACATCTCTTTTGGGTTTTTATATTAACTTTTATTCATTTTTTTTTCCTAACAGATCTTGTAATAATGGTCCGAATGACATCTGTAGAAGAAAATTTGTGTTGTATTATTATATAATTTATATTGGTATACATTAAACACTATTTTAAATGAAGTGATATATGAGAAGGAAAACTAAAAATTTTGATTTAAAATGATTTTATGATTTCTTATGAAAAGCTACTTTAAAAACAATAATACGAATGATAAAATTATTATGTATAATTCGTAATATTCTTTTATGTAGTTGATTATGTGCACAAAATATTATTTGTTTTATTTTATTTAGGTTTCTCATTTTGTCTTCTAGGTCTGAAACTTAGAAATTATGATCAATGTGAAGAAGGAAAGTAAAATAGTTCTTTGGCCAGTAGCGTTATTAAAAATATCCAAATGGAGCGAGAAGTCTAACCCATAAGATCGAGATTGGTTGGCATATGTCAAAAAAAAAAAGATGATCAATCAAAGGCTAGTCCCAAACGTAGAAAATTACAAGACCTTGGTCCCAGAAATTTCTTTTAAAAAAGTAAGCTGAGATAAAAGTGGAAGAGAAAAAAAAACAGCTTTGTAAAACACACGACAACATTGTTCCATGTAATAGTTTTTGTGGTTGTAAACATCAATAATGCTCTTTTCTATCGGACTAATAACATTATTATTGCTAAATATATATATATATATATATATTATTTATAACCTAGATATTCTTTATTAGATTTTTTTATATATTATCATTTAGTAATATTTTTATTTTATCAATATAATATATTAAAAAATAATGATATAAAGAAAATTGCAGTTAATAACCAACAAAAATTTTATATTTAAAGAAATAACCATATAAAGGTGATGGTTACTATATTCTATGTATTATATACAATATATACAAGTTTACCTTTTAATTTTCCCACTCACACTCTACTTTCACCCCACTCGCAAACATAACTTATTAACTTTAATATGTAAAAGTAAACATGTTATTATTGGTTTTAAATTCATCCACCTAAATCAGTATTTGAAACAATTAAAAAAAATTTGGGGAAAGGTTTTAAAATCGGGAGAGCTTTCTCTTTCAGTTTCTATTTTTAAAAGAGATGCAATTGACTAAATTGGAGAACAGCGAAGAGTGAAGGGTGATAAAAATTTCAAGTTAAGTGAAGAGTCATCGAAGATTGAAGAGTGAAGAACGAAATACTGTAAGTTATTTTGTTTGTGCTTTTGATTTATTGCATACAAATGAAAAATGGGGGAAATGTTGAAGTAGATTGTGTTTGGGTTTGTACTCATCGATGACATTATCAAATCTGGGTTTGGATTTGGATGAAATGTTGAGGAGAAGGGGGCCGGGGCTGGGTCGATGGTTCTGGGTCGAAGCTTTGAATCGGGAGGAGGAGGCGATGGTTCTGGGTCGGACGGTGGTGGCGGTGATGATGAATTATCCGGCGGAGGAGCAGATTTCTTCGACGAACTAGTCGTGATGGCTAATTATGGGTTTGGGTTTATATTCACAATATCGCTTTCATTTCTGGGTTTGGGGTTTGTTATTTATCGTCGACATTGCAATAAGCTCTATAAGATGAAATCGTCGATTCTGGATTATGGGTTCTGAAATTGGAGGCTGAAATAATCAAAAATTTTGGGTGGAAGATTAAAGGAAATTAGAAGTTCTATTTTAGGGTTTTTACTAAATTGATTGACTATATGTAGTTTATATAGAACGACTATATGTGAATCGTTATTATATCTGTCATGTTTTTTATGTATATATACGTGAATGTGTTTTGCTTGATAGGATTTTCTATAGATTGTCTATATGTATATAGTATGACCATACCTAATAGTCTATTTAACTTGAAGTATTCTTCTCGTTTTTTTACAGTGTTGCGATGGCAGATTTAGGCTTGCCGGAAAGAATGTTCATGACAGGTTATGAACCTACAGGTCGGAAAAGGATAAATAGATACTTCAATCTCAGGTGGGTGGAAACAATCAAGCTAGCATTAGAAGAAGATCAGGTGACAAAGCTAGCATAATCACAGTTTGGGAAGATAATGTAGATGGAGCATCATACATTCTCAGTCAACTTCGTCCACTACCTTCTATCTCGTCAACTGGTTACAAAAAAAAAGTACGAATTGTGGTGGTTATTCTCTGGAAACCCAATTAGATTCTCTGAGAACCCAATTAGATTCTGATGTGATCCTCCCAAGGATCGGTACTCAGAAGCTTGGTAAGAGATAGATCAGGGACAAAAGCTTGCGGAATGAACTTCTGTTTGAAGAGATGAATAGATCAGGATATAGTTCAGAGTTAATTTGATCACAAGAGATAGAAGAGAAATGAAAAAGATGCTGCAGAAGCAGCGATTCACTCTCAGGAGAAAACAAAGAGAATAGAGATGATAAAGATGCTGCACAAGCAGCAAATCACTCTCAAAGAGACAAAGGATTTCGTCCAGGTTTGATAAGAGAAAGAGAGAGTTTTATTTGATAAAAGTTTGATGATCCAATCCAGGATGAGTTCTCATAAGAGATTACAAGATTATTTAAAGAGAAGAAATGTAGAAAAACAAGGCAGACTCGAAAATGACAAGGAAATAAATGCAAAGTTTGAATAACTCTTCAAGTCACTTCTCCAGCCTCTTGAACTTCCCTTGGACGAAATTTGTCTTGGGCTTAAGTCCTTGAATCAACAATTGGGCCTTGAGAGAAGTAGACATCATTGCCTCCTTAAAAACCTTCCTTTGGAAAACCCATTGGGACAAAACCAAAGGTAAGGGAAAAAGAGTACAACTGGGCCACTTACCCAATTGTTGATCTACTTGAGCCTGAATCAAAACCAGTGTGGTTTGTAATCCATCTTCTCCAGCCTGGCTCAAGCGATCTTCTTTGTTCCATAGATAAGTAGGTATCTCGCCAATGCCTTCCTTGAGCTTATTAGCCTTAACTCCTTTGTTTTTAGACCAATATCTCTCGGCTACAAGCTGATCTTTAGCTCCATGCTCTGGTTCAAGCTCTCATTTCTTGATGCTGCTCAGTATCACATCATCCTCCCCCAGTTGAAAAGGATTTGTCCTCAAATCAGGACCAT